CTGATTTTTCAAAAGTAAATTGCCAGACTTTTCTTCTGAGACACCTCTGGGTAAACTTGAATCACAAATTTTAGAATATTAAGTGTGCATACTAACCACTGAGTAACAGCTATGTCTAACAACTGAATCAAAAGAATTCCTGAAAATTTAACAATCAGCTCTTGCCAGCTGGTATACATTGGCAGAGGGATTTATAGTCACTGGTCTTCTATGCCAGGATCTGTAGCCAGGAAAAACTACATTTCCCAGAAGCCTCCTCTCTTTTAACTTCCGGAAAATTGTTCCCATGGAGACAGGCTAACAGACAGTACAGGCTGTCCTTCAAAAGGGTAAGGAAGGAGCATTTGGCTAGATCCTGCCTGACAAGGTAGTGGTGGTAAGAGACTTTTTCAGCCTAGGGGCTCCAGTCCTAACTTTCAGAAGAAGTTGTGTGTGTTGTGTGTGTTGTGTGTGGTGTGGTGTGTGTGTGTGTGTATAGGAAGTGCTGCTGCCGGGAAGGAGATCCAGGGAAGGACCTGTGCGCTGGGGAGGGTCATGGGACTCCGAGGAGAGTCCAGGAAACTGAGACAGGGCTGTCTGACAAACTGACGTATAGCTGAAGAGGCCACCTGGAATGGGGCATAAGAGTTGTGGATTCTGGTCCCAGCTCTGCCTCTAGTGAACATGGTCTGTGTCTGTGGGTTCAGGACTTCATCTCAGGGCCACCCCTGCTGTAACTTTCTATTGCCCTCTGACATCTTGGTCTTTCCCCAACATACTTCTGTCCTTGCTCACCCCCAACCCTACTTCACCCCCACCATCCCTTCTGGGGTGTCCCCCATCTCATTAGTCCCTTAAGAACATGGATTTCAGATTCAGAAATATATGGGTTCAAATCCTGTATCTGCCACTTACTAACCTCTCTAGACCTCAGCTTTCCCATCTGCCCTCTCGTATTAGTGTCTCCCTCAGTGATCATCCATAAATGAGACACTCTCTATGAAAATCGTAGGACAGTACCTGGAACACAGTAGGTCTTCAGTAAGCTGTAAGCATCTGGCAACGTTATTACCCATCTCCCTGGACCCATCCTGTCTGTACCCATGAGGCAAACAAACGGATCTGAGAAGCAGGTTGAGTTGTTAGCAGGTGGGCCCAGGGAGAGGTTCGCCATTGTTGTGCTGACCCACCTTGGGGTCCCATGTCCAGAACAACATCGTTCAGCCCCTCGTGAACTAGGGCTCAGATAAGGCACACAGATTGTCAGAACTGGGTAGAAAATTTGTATCTCTCCATATAGCAAGCAAGGAAACAGAGGTCCAGAAAGGTCTTCCATTTCAGTGACATTTCTAGAGGCCGGGTGGTGTGGGGCATGTAGACGTATGTATTCCTTCTAAGGATAAGTTGTTGCACCGTGCCTCTCCTACAACTTAACACCTGGCAGGTCTGTTTGGATTTTGGGGGGCAACATGTTACTGATTTAGGCATGGTACTCCAGCCTGTTTACTAAATGACCCTGAAAGCTTCTGGTGTTGAGTGGGCTCTGCAACAGGTCTACTGGTCATGCAAGCTGCTCTGCCACATGAGCTATATGATTCGGCAGATCCAATGGAGCTTGAAGTGTCTGTGGCAGATGGAGATACTGTTTAGAGTCCTTAGCAAGCCTCTTTATAAGGTCCTAGTTGTGGCACTGTGGGTTAAATATGCTGGATTGCATGGTTTGTTTGAACTGTAAGATCGGCGGCTCAAGCTCACCAGCAGCTCCTTGGAAACTCGGAAACAGGGTTGCTGTGAGTTGGAATTGACTCGACTGCATTTAACAACAACATACAGGGTCATTATGAGTCAAAACCAACTCTATGGCATTGGACTTTCTTAGTTTCTATTTTGGGTGGGGGAGGCAGCTATTGGTAAACCAGGAGCCCCGGTGACACAATGGCTAGTCATGCTGCTAACTAACAAGTTGGGGTTCGAACCCACCAACTGCTGAAAGATGTGGCAGTCTGCTTCTGTGAAGACCCTTGAAGACCCTGTGGGGCAGTTCCACGCTGTGCTATAGGGTCCCTGTGAGGTGAGTTGGAATCAACTCAACAGCAATAGTTTTTTCTTTGGTTTGTTTTGGTTTTGGTGAATCATTGTGCAGAATTCCTGGGATTTTGGAGCAAAGCCCCATCATCCCTTGCAGATAACTACTCCATTTGAGAATCAGCTTTTGACTTGCCACTGGGTCTTAGTGGAGACTCAGTGCTTAACCATGGCCTGAGCCATGAATTGGCATTCAAACATAACCTACAGAGTCACAGAGTTGGATCACCAAATGGAAATGGTACATACAAGACTGGGCCGGTCCACCTCCCCTCCACCCTCCCCAGCCAGGTTTGGTCCAGGCTTGTGGCCAAGAAACTAAGGTGGCAAGGCAGGGTGACATGTTGGAAAACAGCCCTCCCATGCCGGTCCCTTTTGCCCACTCAATCCTAACTCCACCCTGTTCTTTTCTCGCCAGTCCTCATTGCCACCCCTGCCCATGCCCCCCCACACACACACACAGACTCTATGGGTTCATTCTCCTCTCTGGAGCATTAGAGGGGACTGAGCTGGAGGCAGGAGACTGGAAGATCAACTGGGATGGTGTTTGACACATATGGTAAGACCTGGTGTGAGTAGCTCAAACAATAGAGGCTGATGTCCCACCACAGAAGTCTGGTGATGACACGCCAGGCTGAGATGATGGCTTCATGATGCCACTAGGAACCCTGACTGTCCCTATGTTTCCTCTCTACCTTAGCAGGACTTCAGTCCTCATGTATGGTCATCTCATGGGAACCCATCAGCTGCCCCACTTCCCACTTTGCAAGAAGACAGAGGAGGGCAAAGGGTGCAGGCCCATGGGACCTGGCTTTTTTAACAAGTCTTCCTAGAAATCCTGCCCATCATCTTCTTCTACTCACATCTCATTGGCCAGAATTGGGGATGTCCCAGGTCCACCTCCAGCTGCAAGGGAGTCTGGAAAGCTGACCGTTTAAAATGGATTGCATTGCTATCCCTAACAAAACTGGGCTGTATAGTATGGGTATTCAGCTAAGCGAGTACTGGTCAGCTCTCCTAGGGCACGCAAGCACTTTTGATGCTTCCGTGTGGCTCACAAAATGACATTGAATTTGGGCTGACACGGGCCTTGGCTAGGAGAGCATGCACTGTGTTTCCTCACCCCCAGTCTGATCCTCCTCCAGGTGCCTTTGAGCTCTCTCTGCCTTAGCTCCAAATTTGATGAGATAAACTATCATTCACCTGCCATCTTCATTGTTTTGTTTGTTTTCTTGCTGCATTTTGTGGTGGTGGTGGTATGCTGTGGCATCAGTTCAGACTCACAGAGACCCTGTATAGGGTTTCAGAGGCTATAAATCTGTTGTTAACATGTGCCTTCAAGTCGGTTCCGACTCATAGCGATCCTGGATAGGGTTTTTGAGGAGCAGCTGGTGGGTTTTAATTGCTGACCTGTGGTTTGCTGTCCAGTGCTAATCCTACAGCACACACCAGGAACAGAAAGTTTCTTCTTTCTCCCATGGAGCAACTGGTGGATTCGAACTGCTGACTTGTGGTTTGCAGCCCACCCCACTATGCTAGCATGGCTCCTCGGTATCCTATCACCTTATTATTACACCTTTCTTTAAAAGAGTTCACTTATTGGCCTTTTTTGTTGTTGTTGTTGTTGTTGTTAAGTGCCGTCGAGTCGGTTCCGACCCATAGCGACCCTGTACAGGGTTTCCAAGGGTGTAAATCTTTACGGGAGTAGAAAGCCTCATCTTTCTCCCGCGGAGCAGCTGGTAGTTTCGAACCGCTGACCTTAAGGTTCACAGCCCGATTCGTAACCACTACACTAGTCAGGTACTGCTGAATCAATTTTAGACTCTTAGTGAGCCCATGTGTCAGAGTAGAATTGCCCCATAGGGTTTCCTAGACTGTAATCTGTATGGGAACAGATAAACAAGTCTTTCTTCTATGGAGATGCTAGGTGGGTTCAAACTACCAATCTTTCCATTAGCAGCTAAGCACACTTAACCACTGCACCACCAAACGTAAACCAAACCAGGCCTATTGCTGTCAAGTTGATTCCAACACATAGTGCCCTGCAAGATGGAGTGGGACCGCCCATACACTTTTCAAGGCTGGAATCTTTATGGAAACAGACTGCTACATCCTTTCTGCAGCAGAGCGGCTCATAGGCTCAAACCAGGTAGCTTTAGGTGAGCGGTCAACCTCTTAACCATCGAACATCCAGGACTCCTCGCACGCACCATCAAACCCAGCAAGTAGATTCTGCTTCATAACAACCCTGGATTTCTGAACTGTAAACCTTTGCAGAAGCAGAAAGCCTCATCTTTATCCCACAGAGTGGCTTGAACTGTCAACCTAATGGTTAGCAGTCTGGTGCTTATCCACCAGGGCTCCTTTATTGGCCTTAATCAGTGTATTTCAATGTTGTTGTTGTTAAGTCCCATCAAGTCAGTTCTGACCCTGTATAGGGTTTCCAAGGAGCGATTGGTGGGTTTGAACCACCAACCTTGTGGTTTGCAGTCCAGTGCTGATCCTGCAGCGCCTCACCAGGAGACTTTAAAATACTACAGTTACCCCCTACAACGTTAGCACCACTTGTCATATGGAAAATAACTGAAAATACATATACTAAAAGGCAATCAACACTTTTAGTGTGGGTTAACTACTCCTACCCTGACAATAGCTGAGACCTGCCTTATTTATGTTTTAAAGGGAAATTTGCAAGTGTCAGAAAGATGTTACAGACAGACGAGCACCAAAGTGAGACTTTCTCCTCAACTGAAAAGAAGTTTAGAAGGAATCACTGTCTCTGTAATCTAAGCCCCCTAAGACCCCATCCCAGTCCCCCAGGGACACAAGTGGGCTGGCTGCTACTGCTGCAGTTTTCTGGAGCTGACAGAGCTGACAGCGACTACTCTGTGTGCTTTGATCCATCTCCTTTTCCAGAAAGCCAGCGCTGAGCCAGGATGGAGGTCCTGAGGGAGAAAGTGGAAGAGGAGGAGGAGGCTGAGCGGGAGGAAAGAGCAGAAAGGCCCTTGAGGCCTGAGAAAATGACAAAACTGCTGCCGAAGGAGACAACCACCCTGACTCAGGAGATGCTGAGAGAGATGGAGAAGCAGCTGTTGGAGATTGAGGTCCCCATCCCAGGGGAGCCCCTGTGAGTGCTGGGGGGAGGGGCCAAGGAACCAGACAGAATGGTGGTGCCTGGGCTGAAGGAAGGGCCAGGACACAAGAGAGAGGTGGGTCTCATTAACTGTGTGACTTTGGGCCAGTCACTTAACCTCTCTGTGCCCGAGTTCGGCCATCTGCTTAAAAGTGTGGCTGGTAATAACAGTACCTGCGCTCCTACAAAGTTTGAGGATTAACTAAGGAAGGGGTAGAGTCCATCTTGGCAAAGGTAGGCCAGGTACAGCCTCCCACAGGCTAAAGCTACCCCTCATGTGGGCATAGGACTAAGAACAGTGTTGACATCACCAAGCTGCCCCTTTCCTACAAAATCAACACACCCAAGGAAGAGCAGCTGCTGCAGGTAGCAAACAACTTCTCTCGCCAGTACAGTCACCTGTGCCCGGACCGTGTGCCACTCTTACTCTACCCGCTGAACGAGTGCCAAGTGCCTGTAAGGGGGCAGGGATGGGGTGAGGGTCAGACAGCAGAGGATGGAGGGTGGGAGTTGGGTGGGGATCAGAGAGCAGAAGGCAGGGGCAAGGATGGGATGGGGGTGCAGAGGGCGGGGGCTTCTGTCAGGTGTCCAGCCCAAGCACAGACGTCTGGAGGTGGGAGAAGAGTTGGGTCACTCCCAGCTTCATAAACTATTCCAAATGGGATTACATCCACAAATACTGGGGCTAGGGTTGAAGGACCATGATTCCATATCTGACACCAGGTCTCCCCCCTGGCAGAAGTTCGTGAGCACTACCATCCGGCCCACACTCATGCCCTACCCTGACCTGTACAACTGGGATGGCTGTGCCCAGTTTGTCTCTGACTTCCTCACCATGGTGCCCCTGCCTGATCCCCTCAAGCCGGTAAGTACCCCCTAAAAATGAGTCTGTAGGCCCCTGAAACTTAAGAAAGGAGAACAGGCCGAAGTTGGCAGAAGGAAGCTCAGCTGGGCTCAGACCACAGAGACTCCAGGCCCAAGGGTATCGAGCACTTACCCAAGATCACAAAGCAAATCAGGACTTCCAGGGATGGGAAAAGGAGAGAGAGGACACAAACCCATACCCTCAACCCTCACTCAGCCTCTGCTGCTCATTGAGAAGGGAGGAGGGGGAAAGAAAAGGGTAGGTCAATAGTGGAGAACTGATCAAAGGAAAGAGAAGGAAAGGATGAGGGGAATTTGGGAGTAAAAAAATAAAGATGCTGGTCAGAAATCACTGGACCCAGAAGCAAGCTCAGAGCTTCTCCAGCCTAGAGGTGGCTTCCCTCAGGAGGTCCACGAGCCACTGAAAAGTATGCCACATGTGGAGTGTGTTCTGGGCACAGGGTCCCTGGCTTTCTAACCCACAAAGGTTAAGAGTCCTGCTGGGGTCTGTCCAGCACATCGCTGTAACTAGTGGGGTGGCCAGAGGGGGTCAGCAGGTATCAGCTGTGCTGACCAGCCCACTGTGCCCAGCCCACAGACCTGTACTCTTCCACCACGGTGCTGAAGTACCAGAAGGGTAACTGCTTCGACTTTAGCACGCTGCTCTGCTCCATGCTCATCGGCTCTGGCTATGATGCCTACTGTGTCAATGGCTACGCCTCGCTGGACCTGTGCCTCATGGACCTGACTCGGGAGGTGTGCCCACTCACTGTGAAGATCAAGGAGGTACGGGCGGGCTCATGCTACTCCCGGGCATCTCATAGGTGATGTGTTTCCACTGCAGTCCTGCTCATCCTTAAGGAAGTGTGGACGATGTAGGTGGAGATGGAAAGCACTTTGGTGGTTTCTCAAAAAGTTAGACATAGAGTTAGTATCAGCATCAGCTGCCAATGAGTTAATTCCAACTCATGGTAGGCCCGTGTGTGTCAAAGAGTCATTGATTGCATGCAAGTCACCAGGTCTTGCTTTCAAGTTGCCTCTGGTGTTGGAATTGGTGATGTGCCGTGGAGTCAGTTCTGACTCATAGCGACCCTGCATAGGGTTTCCGAGGCTGCAAATCTTTAAGGGAGCAGAAAGCCTCATCTTTCTCCCTTGGAACCACTGGTAGTTTTGAACTGTTGACCTTGAGATTAACAGCCTGATTGGTAACCACTATGTTACCAGAGCTCTGGGTGAACTTAAACCTCCAACTTTTCCACCAGCAGCCAAGTATGTTAGCTGTTTGCATCCCCCAGGAACTCTGTAATTACCATACCCACGGCCATCAAGTCACTTCCAACTCAAGTGACCCTGTGTAGGGTTTCTGAGTTGTTGTTGTTGTTAAGTGACATTGAGTTGGTTCTGACCCATAGTAACCCTGTGTAGGGTTTCCAAGAAGCAGCTGGTAAGCTTGAACCACCTACTTTGTGGTTCAAACGACTTTGCTGTCCAGCACATTAACCCACAGCGCTGGACTGCAAAGTTGGTTTGAACTGCAAGGTCAGCAGTTCAAGCTCACCAGCTGCTTCTTAGAAAAAAACCCAAGCAGTGTCACTTATGAGTTGGAACCGACTCGATGGCACTTAACAACAACAACATCTTTGGGTTGGCAGCTGAGTGCTTAGCCATTGTGCCATCAAGCCTCCAACACATGTTATGAATGAACCTTGGAAACATGGTAAGTGAAGTAAGTCAGACACAAAAGGACAGTCATGTGATGTGACTTATATGAATTACCAATATAGCTACATAGAAGGAGCCCTGATAGCGTAGTGGATTATGAGCTGGGCTTCTAACTGCATGGTTAGTAGTTTGAACCTACCAGTCACTCCACAGAAGACACATGAGGCTTTCTGCCCCAGTAAAGATTTACAGCCTCGAAAACCCTTTACAGGGTCGCTGTGAGTCAGAACTGACTCAATGATACACCACCCCTACCACCAAATATATCTAAGACAAAAGTAGAAGAGTGATTGCCAGACAATGGGGAGTTATTGCTTAAGAAAAAAAATGTACCTGTAATGGGGGGGGTTGCATACTCCAAACCTATTTTTGGAAACCTAAGTGTAGAAGAGAAAGTTGAGGGTTGGAGTATTCCATCCCTTCCCCACACTTGCCGTATGGTGTGGTTGTGTGAGCCTCAGAGACTCTGATGGCCTGCCTAAGTTGACAATAATTGAATTTCCTCAACCCTATTTCCCCAGTATCCACCCAGTTCACGGCAGGTTGTGACTTGCATATATAATTGGGTGCTGTTGATTCAGAGTTCTGTTCCTAGCTACCAGCTACTGGGGACACAAGGGACACGCTAAAATGTATTTTGATTTTAGGAATCACAAAGCGTCTCTTTATATTTGGAAAACGATTTTACTACATATAGGTGACACTTCACATGAGCTGAATGAATTTCAGGGCTTTGTCATCAGAGTCAAACTCCTGGGGATATCTGCAGCTCAGAGGTGGTGATCCAGGGGCTTAGAACCTCCAGTCCCATGTGTACCTGTGCACCCATGCTACCCCTGTGTGAGCATTGGAGGGACCCAGGAGGGCACTCTGATGGAGTGAGGATGAAAAAGGGGAGAGAACTTCCCCCGTGCACCCACCCAGGCCCACCTCTCAAAGAAAAGATAGAGCAAAAGCTCCAACATTGTTTTAACTTCAAAGGTCTATGAGCTCATCCACATGTCTCAGCTATAATCAGTGTCTTAATAATGAAGATATCAGGACTAACCAATGCAGAGGTCTTTCTGATTTAGAAGCTGCTTTGATGGCCATTGGCTTAGGTATTTTCACTCCTATAGGACAGATGGCAGTCCTTGGATGATGCTCAGTCGCTCACTGAATGGCTGGAGGTTGGAGTTCCCCCAGAGCCACCTCAGAAGAAGGCCTGGTGATGTATGTCCCAAAAGTCAGCCATTGAAAACCCCGCAGAACACAGTTCTACTCTGACACGCATGGGGTCATGAGTTGGAATTGACCCAGTGGCAATTGGTATTCTACAAATGGAATGCCAGTTGAGATGTTTTCCACAAATGGACTCAACATTGGAAATGCTCATTCATCAACATTGGAAATGCTCATTCATTTATGCCAAGACAGCAATTTGGTCAGCTGACTAGAAGAGATGTCCAGCCCCCAAAAAGATGATCTGTTATCCAACATAATGCAGACATTATCAAACAATATCAGTAATATTCACACAAGTAAAATCTTGCTGAAGATAATGAAAAAATGGTGTGGCACTACATCGATTGTTATTGTTAAGTGCTGTCAAGTTGGTTCTGACCCATAGTGACCCTGTGTAGAGGTTTCTGAAGAACGACTGGTAGTCTTGAACTGCCGACCTTGCAGTTCAGCACATTATCCAGAAGCACCATACCAGGTGATAGGAACTGCCAGAAATTCAGGTAGGATTCAGAAGAGGATGTGGAACCAAGGATATCATTACTGATGTCACATGGATCTTGACTAAAAGCAGGAAATATCATAAAGATGTTTACCTGTGTTCTATTGGTTTTGCAAAGGCATTCTACTGTGTGAGTTAGGACAAATCACGAATAACATTGTGAAGAATGGAAATTTCAGAACACTTCATTGTGCTTATGCAGAACTTGTACATAGAGGCAGTTGTTTGAACAGAACAAGGGGATAATGTAAGATTTTTAAGTGCACATTAGGGTTATATCCTTTCACCATCTGAATGTTATATCCTTATACAATCTGAATGTGAGCAAATGATCTTAGAAACTTGATTATATGAAGAGGAACATGGCATTAGGATTGGAGGAAGTCTCACTAACAGCCTACAATATGCAGATGATGCAACCTTGCTTGCCAAAAGTGAAGAGGACTTGAAGTATTTACTGATGAAGATCAAAGACAATGGCCTTTGGTATGAGTTGCACCTCTGTGTAAAGAAAACAAAACTCATCACAACTGATTGGATTTCCAACAACCTGGTGGACTAGGCAGACACATTACATGGGCCCTCTACAACAAAGATATGAAAGGCCAAATGAAACAAACACAGATGAAAATTCAGGAACCCTGAACATCAGAGAAAAGGTTAGAGAAGAGTACTGAGTGTTTGCCAGGAGGAGAAGCTGAGCAGGGACAGTGGGAGAAGGAGACTGACTGGTGAACGCTGGCCACACCATCCTGTGAACAGCTCTGGCACAGAAGGAGGCCTGGCAGAGCAGAGTCACACAGGGGATGGGAAAGGTGTCATTCCTTCTTTTTTCCCATGCTCCCCTGGTGACCAGAGGGGTGGCCAGCTCCCACCCTTATCCACCCCCAGCTCAGGCCCTGCTCTCTGGGAGCTTGAAATCCTGTGGTTGGGAGCCACACCAGTGTGTGTGTGTAGGGGGGGGCGGGGGCAGTTATGCTACTTTAGTGCCTGGATTCCGTGAACCTTGGCAGCAGAGCCACCAGACCAGCATTTAACCAGTCACCCTACTCCCAGCTGCCCCGTGGTCCTAACAGATACTGAAACCAGCTCCATCAAGGGCCTCCACTAACTGCTTGTGGATTGAGTGTCCTGAACATAGATAACACCAAGGCCAATACTAACTCCATCTAAGGGAGAAACTCTGCCCTCACATCCCTCCATCACCCAACTCATGAGCTCTTTGGCTAGCAGGAACCCGCCCCCTCCCGATTTTTCTCCTCTTTCTGGGTCCAACAACTGCACTGGTTTTGTGTGTGTGTGTGTGTGTGTGTGTTTTTCTTTGTTTTGGGGTTTGGATTTTTGTTGTTCTTGTTGCACTGTTTTTATGTGTTTATTCTTTCTCCTCCTTCTACTTCTCTTTCCATCACCTTGAATTTTATCTTTTCTTTCTCTGCTTTTGTTTTTCCTTCTAAATGCCCATCAACAAAAGAATGGCTAAACAAACTGGTACATACACACAATAGAATAGTAAAAATGTTGAAGAATAATAATGAATCTGTGAAACACCTTACAATGTGGCTAGTCAATCACAAAAGGACAAACATTGTATGAGACCAATGTCCTAAAAAGTTAAAGAAAGGCCCCCCTCCAAGACTGAAACTCAAAGGGAATACATGAGCAGGCATGTAAGCACGCTGGTCTACTGGTGAGTAGAAGGAGGGGGAAAGGCAGCAATGAAGAAATGGGCTGAATTCAACCACATTCCATAGACTCCTGTTGACCTGGAGACAAGAGAGAGAAGAGACTGGTCAGTCTGAAGTGTGATGAGACCTGAGAACTCCTGAGCCCGTGGATAAGGACATAGCCACAGAGGGTTAGAGCTGAGAATGAAGCATCCAGCTGATATGAAATGAGGGGGAGATGCACAAAAACGCCGAAACTTGCAGATAGTACCCATTTGACCTAGCCTCGATGGCTTGATAATCAGAACTCATCTAGAGGAAGATTAAAACAACAACAACAACAACAACTAATTTTGATAAAGGAAATGAATGTAAACTGATGAACTTGACCTATACGTATGGATGTAGTAGCTCAAAATACCAACTGAGAGGGAAGGGGTCTTCACATCAAGTATCAACCCTATCCCCTCTGTATACAGGGTAGATAGGGATGGGCAACTTAGACATTGGCTACCTAAAATGAGAGGATGATAAAGGCACAAAGTGACTGGCTTACAAGTTTTAAAGAGGGAGTTTAGTTTAAGAGTGTGTAGGGGAAGGTAAGGTCCCCATTGAATAGTTTTCATCTTTTCTAGATGGGTCTGGTTAAAAGCGATGGGAATAAGATTCTTACGATTCAATAGAGAGTAATTGTTATCATGACTAATTGCAATAGTCACAACTGTAAAGGTAGAAGTTTTATAACAAAAAGGGGAGAGTAGTTAATCTTACAGTCAGAAACAGAGGACCCTAAGACCTTCAAGGGAGAAGAGCACAAGTGGAGTGTGAGACCCTACCCAGAGAAGAAACGACACCAGAGATGGAGGCAGAGATGAGGACATGGAGAGAGAGAGCAGCTGAGGACTCTGGACTCATGGAAAGAGAGGGACTGGGTGCCGGTGGCCAGGAGGCAGTTTTGCAGAATGTGCCCTTTGGTTGTTTAAATTATTATATATTCCTGAGTGTTTTTGAGTACACCCCCCCAAAACCAAACAAACAAACAGAGAGAATGGAAGCAAATACTTTTGAATGATGATGCACGGAGGAGATTATGATCATTGCAATGAAATGATGGTGTAAAGCCAATATTCTCCCATCAGTTCACAATAAAAACTTGAAAAAAAAAAGTTAAAGAAAGTTTTTCTTGACAAAAGAAACTATGATGGTTAAGGAAGAGATCACAGGGGGGAAATTATTCATGGGTTAGAGGGTAGAAACATGTTAACATGGGTGACAGGGCAGGAAATATGCAACAAGATGGAGGTTAGTAGAGGTAAGATGAATGTAGTGGGAGACACAGAGAGGAATGCAATAGTTAAGTGAATAGAGGTAAATACTGTTACCTGATGGATATGAAAGGGATTGCAAATATCGTAAGGAGCAAAGTATATGATTTGTTGAATGTAAAACGGATGATCTGCTCTGTAAACCTTCACGTAATTCACAATAAAAAGTTGTTTTTTTTAAATCCTCACAACTGGAACAATAAGCAATATCATGATAAATAGAAAAAAGATTGAAGTTGTCAAGGATTTCATTTTACTTGTATCCACAATCAAAGTCCATGGGAGCAGCAGTCAAGAAATCAAATGACATACTGCTACTGATGTTAAGTGCTGGTGAGTTGGTTACGACTCATAGCAACCCTGTATAAGGTTTCAAGGAGCAGTTGGACTGCCAACCCTATGGTTAGCAATCCAATGCTTATCTTATAGAACCAGGACTCCAAACGACATACTGCATTGGTTAAATCTACTGCAAAAGACCTTTTTAAGATATCACTTTGAGGACTAAGGTGTTCCTGACCCAAGTCATGGTATTTTCAGTGGTCTCATATGCATGTGAAAGCTAGTCTATGAATAAGGAAGATCAAAGAATTGATGCTTTTGAGTTATGGTGTTGGTGAAAAGTAATGAATATACCATGGACTGCCAAAGGAATGAACAAATCTGTCTTAGAAGTACAACCAGAATCCTTCTTAGAAGTGAAGAAACCCAGACTTTGTCTCATGTACTTTAAACATGTTACCAGGAAGGACCAGTCCTTGGAGAAGAACACTGTTTAGTACATTATAAGGTCAGCGAAAAACCCTCAACAAGATGGATTGACACAGTGGCTACAACAATGAGCTCAAACACAGCATCGCGTGTGAGGATGATGAAGGACCAGGCAGTGTTTCTTTCTGTCATATGTAGGGGTGTTCTGAGTTGGAAATGACTCAATGGCACTTAACAACAACAACATTCAAATGAATGTGTTCAGATGCAACTGAAGGAATGTGGCCAAAATCATACCACTGGTCAGTGGATACTGAGGGATGGAAACCTGAGTGGGACTCTGAGCCCTGGACATATGCTCTTGTTCCTTTATAACAGTTGCAGGTTGCTTCTGCAACCTCTGCAGTGGTCTTTCTGGGCACTTTTATGGACACCTTAGCAGCACTCTTGTACACACACACACACACACACACACACACAAAGGGAGAATTTCATAGCTTTTCTTGCTCAGAAAACTCTTACTTTAAGTCCACATATGAGACCCTCCAATGATAAGATCTGAACATTCTGACCCCTAATAATCTACAGCACTACCATGGGTTGTGGAGGGGTTAAAAAAAAAGGAGGCAGTTTCGACTCCTAAGCACCTGCCCTAGGAAATATCTTAGATGGGCATTTCACTGCATCTATAGCTCAGCATTAACATTGGTTCTGAGCGTTATTATCTTTCTCACTCCCACTTTACAAATGAACCTGAAGTTCAGAGAGATGAGAGACTTGCCTTAAAGTCACAGAGCTGGATTTGGGGCTCTGACTGCATCTAGGGCCAGAAAACCCGTGTACTCAAAGAACAGTGATCTCTGGTCTGAGGAGCTGCTTGGCAGGTCTAGGCTTAGTGTGAATGGTGGGTGTTCAGGACCACTGACCCTTCTCTCTCCTCTTGGGTGACAGATAGTACCTGAGAAAGAAAAGGCACCACCTAAGAAGTATGCCATAAAACCCCCTAGGGACTTGAGCAGCAGGTTTGAGCACGAGCAGGAGACGAAGAAACAGGAGGAAATGAAAGCTGCAGAGGAGAAGCGGCTGAGGGACGAGGAGGAGCGGCTCTTGGTGGGTCCATAGTCCCCATCCCAAGCTCAGCTACTAAGGGGCTGCTATGAAAAGGGCAACAGACACAGGTCAGGGGAGGGAGGGATTTCATGGATCTCCAGTGCATTCTCCTTGCTCCAAACTCTTTACTGGAGAAATACCCACATATACACTCCCATCCATCCATCATCTGTCCATCTATCATCTGTCCATCCTCCCATTTCCCCTTCCATCAATCAGCCTCCCATATCTACTCCCATGACCCATTCTCCTATCCATCCATCATCCACATCTCTCCTTCCATCATCTATCCCCCATCTCTGTCCTCCCTCTTTCGGTTCACACTTTTCCCTTCTCTCCTCCCATCTCTCCTCCCTTCCATCATTCACACTATCATTCTTTCTCCTTCTAACTACCATTTGCTGAGTTTATCTTCTGGTTCAGGCCCTGAGGATACAGTAATGAACCTGGTACAGTCATAGTCCTCCCATATGGCTTCCATTGCCCTTCTTTGAATGAAATCTCACTCCAAATCCAATATATGTGGAAGCTTTAAAAAGTTCATGGAAAAATTCCATTATCTTTTCATTCCATTTTTCATGAACTTTTTGAGCCCCCTTGTATAAAACCAGTAAATTCTGATACCATAGAACTCCAAAGAGTCCAGTTTGTAAACCATAGATCACATCAGATCCTCCCCTTTTATTGAGAAGAAAATGGGATCAGTGTGGGATAACGTCCTCAAGCCAACAGTGCAATCTGGATCCAAACTTGGATCTCCTGCTGGGCCCCTGGCACCTCCTCACCATCCATGTGACATGCTCACCCATCTCTCCTGCAGGAAGCAGAGAAGGTAGCCCCAGACTCCCTGCATGGCCTGCGGGTGCACTCCTGGGTCCTGGTTCTGTCGGGGAAGCGTGAGGTGCCTGAGAGCTTCTTCATAGACCCCTTCACAGCTCGCAGCTACAGCACGAAGGACGAGCACTTCCTGGGCATTGAGAGCCTCTGGAACCACAAGAACTACTGGGTCAACATGCAAGACTGCTGGAACGGCTGCAAGGTGCCTGGGAGGGGCCTGGGTGGGTGTTGCAATAGAGTTGGGAGGAGGGGGAAGTAGTGAAAACTGTGGGGTGGAACAGCCACCAAACCATGAGGGCTTTGGATTGCCCCAGAGCTGAGTCCACATAGCCATCCCCTTGCCCATAAGTAACCATTCTGATATGATTGTAGGACTTCTTTTGATGTGTAGATCCTTTAAACATGTGAGTTATTACCTTGTGTTGATGATTTAAAAAAAAAAAAAAACCTCTGCATTGAAGTGTAACATACATGTTACGAAAGTGCAATTGTCCTCAGTGAATTTCCATATATCCGGCACAGATCAGGACGTAGAAAGAACATCACCCATGCCACCGACACCCCCTTGTGTTCAGTTTCCGAACAGGTGCCCTCGAGTTGATTCTGATTCAGGGTGACAATCCATGTGTCCGAGTAGAATTGTGATCCATAGGGTTTGGGTTTTCTTTAAAATGTTTTTCTATTGCGATTTGGCAGTGTCTCAGCGTTCCAGGTGCCAACGCTTGACATAGTGTGTCTTTTTCAATTATAGCTCTTCAACTTAAATATGGTGTTGTTGTTAAGTGCAGTCGAGTTGGTTCCAACCCATAGCGACCCTGTATAGGGTTTCCGAGGAGTGGCTGGCGAGCTTGAACCACTGACCTTGCGGTTCAAACCCACTTTGCAGTCCAGTGCATTAACCCACAGTATCACACAGTACTCCACTTAATTATGTAGTGGGAGCTCTGGTAGTGTAGTGGTTACGAATCGGGCTATGAACCACAAGGTCAGCAGTTCGAAACTACCAGCTGCTCTGTGGGAGAAAGAGGAGGCTTTCTGCTCCCGTAAAGATTTACAGCCTCAGAAAACCTGTTCAGGGTCGCTATGGGTCGGAACCAACTCAACGGCACTTAACAACAACAACAACATCCCATTATGGTTTCCTTTGAGAATACAGCAAGTTTTTAAGTTTTTTCTAAATGGAGGATGATTTCTCTTTATAAAACTATACCTACTGACAGAGGGAATAGAAGCAAATACTGTTGAATGCTGATGCATGGAGGGGACTGTAATCATTGCAGTGAAATGAAATACGATAGGATGAGTGCAAAACCACGTTCTCCCGTGTAAACTATCACTCCATTCACAATAAAAGCTTAAAATTTTTTAAAAATGTAAGTAAGAACTCATACTCCCAAGTCAGATGAAAACTTTAAGAGCTTTGCAGACTTCTTCCTCAGAGTGAGTGAAAACTATAAAAATCAAATTAATACCAAAATAAAGAAACAACAACAAAAAAATATACCTGCTAATAGATTATGCTGGGATTATTTGTTGTTGTTAAGTACCGTCGAGTCTGTCTGACTTATAGTGACTGTATAAGGTTTCCGAGGATGTGGCTAGCAGCCCACTACATTATAAGGGCTCCTTATTTTCTAGCTAGTTTATAGATAGTGTTGCTGTTGTGATTGGTATCTTAGGTCTTCGGTGTATATTTTAGTTGGCAAAGGAGCTCTGGTAGTTTAGTGGATTGTGAGCAGGGCAGCTGAACTGCTAGGTCAGCAGTTTGAATCTCCACGGGAGAGAGATGAGGCCTTCTGCTTACGTGAAGATTTACAGCCTCAGAAACCCTATAAAGGGTCTCTATGAGTCGGAACCAACTCAGTGGCACATAACCACCACCACCATTGCTGTTATAGGTAAATATTATCGGTTTTCAAGTAGCAAAGCAAGATGGCAACTAAATAGTACTTTGCTCCTTAGGGGAGCAGGAGCGATAGACTTCTCGTCTTCCACGTGGGAGCCCTGGTTCAATTTTCAGCCATTGCACAGCCACCTCTTGTCTCTAAACAGACTTCAGAGGAGCTTCCAGACTAAGATGGACCAGGAAGAAAGGCCTGGTGATCAACTTCTTAAAATCAGACAAGGAAGATTATGGATCTCAACAGTCTGATCTGTAACCAGTGAGAAGCATTTTGCTCAGTTGTACACAGGGTCACCGTGAGTCAGAAGGCTACTCAGCTTGTACAACACTCACTTCATATACAAATGAGAATTTAGGACACAATTTAAGGAAATACAAGCATCGACACACTGGTTCCTCTCCACTCACCCTTGACCACTCCCTATAAATGTTACACTAAGGACCACTTCTCTTCCTCCCCCCTCATCCTCCTCCCCACCCCCAACAGGAGTGGAGAACTCTTCAGGAATCCTCTCAGACCTGAGCCATGACAGGAAGGTTTAGGGCCTGCTTCAGGGCAGCTTCATGTGAAAACCCCTTTATGGATCGCTTTCCTTTGATCTTTGACCTCTTTCTGGAACCCTTGATTCTAGGGACAGGGCACAAAATCCTGGGTAGATGAATTGGAATGTGGGGTACCCCCACCTGCTAGGAACTATCTGGCAAGTAATCCACTTTAAGGAGACAGTGATCTTACTCCTCCAGTAAGCCAGGGTAAATAGAAGGTGGAGGACCCCGACATAAAGGAGTAAGCCCCACCTGCCTCTTACCTTCAACTTCTGCACAGGCCCTGCCTGAGCCTTCCTGTTGGCATGGCTAAACAACATGCTGATGTTGCCTTACGCTGTCAAGTTGATTCTGACCCCCCCAGCCACCCCATGTGTTAGAGAGCTAAACTGCTCCATCGGGTTTTCTTGGTTGTAATTTTTCTGAAAGCTCATCTTCAGGCCTCTTTTCCAAGGTGCCACTAGTTGGGTTTCAGCTGTCAACCTTTTGGATACCAGCCAAGAAAGTGCAAACTCGTGCCACCCAGGAATCAGCACAAGGAGGTTTTTTTAATAACCTATTACTTGGGAGTGCTCAGATGCCCCCTCCCATAAAATCTATAGTGGTTAGCCTGTCCTTGACTTGCATTTGCTCCATCACTGGGACACTCTCCAGCCCACTCAAAGTGACCGCCAAATCCAAGCCCACCTTGGTCTGGAAGTGTCTCAGCGTCTCTAGGAGACCAATAGCGAGTTACTTTACAGGGCAACTGGACAACACAAAATGAGTCTCGACCATCCCCTGGGGCCTCAGGTTCCCCATGGACATGAGAACGGTGAGCATGGACCATAGAGGCTGCCTGGAGCTGGCATGCTGGCCCTCTAAGACTGGTTCAGGTCCCTTCTCTATTCTGGGGCAGTTGTTTCCACCACCTCTTAGAGCAGAGGGCAAGGTGACAGCTACGAGTTGGAGTCAATAGTTGCTCTCTCCCATCAGGACTTGGTCTTTGATCTGGGAGACCCTGTGAGGTGGGAGTTCTTGCTCTTGGGGACCGATAAGCCACACTTGATGATGTCTGAGGAGGATGAGGATGGGTTGAATGACGATGATGACGATGTGGAAAATTTGGTAAGTCCAGCAGTCAAGTGGGGCAGGGAGGAAGTGTAGGGAGGGCTTCACACCCTGTCTTGCATCAGAAGGCCCCAGATCCCCAGCCAAGCAGCCTGACAAATGTCCCTATCAGCACACATCTGTGAAGATGTTCATTGAGGCAGAATAACCCTCCTAGTCTGCACAATGCCCTTATTTTATACAGAGGACAATTGAGGCCCAAACTGAGGTTAAGCGAGGTTCTCCTGCCCCCACCACCACCACCACCACCACATACACACACTCCAGCCCACCTTTGTCTAGGGTTGTCCTGCTTTTTGGATTGGGGTACTGTGACCATCCCAGTCAGCCTCTGGGTTGTCTATTCCTCAAGTCCTGTCCTGTGTGGCCATGTTACCTGGATGCGGGACTACAGCAAGTGAGGGGACAGAAGAGACTTTAATCGCCAGTGCACAAGTGGGGAATCACTCACAGTTTCAGTGCTCCTGAAAATGTCTGCTCCAAGAGTTTTACTAACAGTTAATAGTGGCTGAAGCTGATGTGGCGCTGTAGGATAAGCACTTGATTGCAAGGTCAGTTTGAAACGCATGGTCGGTAGTTCAAACTCACCAGCCACTCTTTAGAAACCCTAGACAGGGTTGCTGTGAGTTGGAAACGACTCGACAGCACTTAACAACAGTGGCTGAAACTGAGGGACACTTGATAAAATACAAATGCTCCAAAGCCAGAAAAGGTGAGAGAGAGTTTTATATAGACGATCTGGGGATTATACCTGAGTCACAAGTTAATCTTTTTTTTTTTTTTTTTATCACAGTCATTCTGTACAAATAAACTGCATGTTGTTGTTGTTAAGTGCCATTGAGTCAGTTCCCACTCATAGCAACCCTGTGTAGGGTTTCCAAGAAGCGGCTGGTGGGCTTGAACCACTGACATTGAGGTTCAATGTGACCTTGCCATCCAGCGCATCAACCCACAGCACCACACCAGGACTCCAGGAAACTGCATAATAAATATTTTTTCAGGGATCATTATGACCCAACTCTGATGTCAGTAAAGCTTCCTATCTGTTGTTTCTCAAAAAGTTACAGTTACTTCTCTTATCTCACTAGGAGGAAACTTGGGAAACACTTTAGAAGAATATTACACATTTTTCTATAGAACTCTGGTATTACCCCCGCCCCTCAACCTCTCTCCACAGGGCAAGGAAGATGAGGAGAAGAACTTCGATATGCCACACTCATGGGTGGAGCAGATTGAGATCTCCCCAGAAGGTACCAGTGCCCACGCCAAGCCCAGTTCCTAGCCACAGTTAGGCCGGCTGCTCATCCCACCCCTTCCTGCAGTGTGTCCGTGCACTGGTGATGGGTTACGGAGCGTGGGACACCTGGGTTGGGTCACACAGAGGTCAGGGCCACAGCCCACTCCTCTGCCTACAGTTGGTAGAGCACCAGGCCCAGGTGGTACCAGAGTATCAGGTCCGGGAAGGGCAAGCAGAGGAAGCGGGATGGTTGGTGAAAGGGAGAATGAATGCCTCAAGTCAAAACATACTAGCTGCGGAGGTTCCCACTGGGGAGCACCCCTAGGGAGGGCAGAGGTCACCCCACGGGAGGGACATGCTGGAGGGGGCATCATGGGAGCAGAGGAGCCACCCCCAGCCCAGCTTAGGGGCTGAGGCCACCCCCCCTTAGCAAAGTTTGGAAGGGCGAGCCAGCCCAGCAAGGGGAGAGTGTTTCAGGAAGACAGATGGCACAGACAAAGTTCTGTGGATGGATCCTTGGGTCAGGCTCAAACCCTGTGCCTCTTAGCTGATCTGGGAACGCCCCCAAGTGGACAGAGGCAGTGGACAGTGATTGACAATCCCCAGTAAGAGCAAAGAAGCTCATTGTTGTTGTTGTGAAGTGCCAGTGCCGTGGGGCCGGCTCCTACTCAAAGCAATTCTGCACAGGGTTTCTGAGCCTTTAAATCTTCTAGGGAGCAGAGAGCCTCATTTTTCTTCCAGAGCGGATGGTGGGCTCAAACCATGGACCTTGTGGTTTACAGTCCAGTGCCAAAATATGGAAACAAACTAAATAGCCAGCAATAGGGGATCGCTCTTTAGTGGAGCTACTTTCTCTCTGGGCTTAGGATCTGGGGAGTAAAGCCCTCAAGCCCCCATTCTGTGTCCCTAGCATTTGAGACCCGCTGCCCTAATGGGGAGAAGGTAATCCAGTACAAGAAGGCAAAATTGGAGAAGTGGGCCCCATACCTCAACAGCAAAGGCCTCGTGTGTCGCCTTACCACCTACGAGGATTTGGAGTGTAAGGGGACAGCCCAACAGGGGGAGCCCGGGGCAGGGGGGGCATGGCTTGAGGTGGGAAGCAGGGGAGCTGGGTCTCCCAGTGTGGCCTCACGCTCATGGCTACTTTAGGTGTATTGGTGTGTGTGTGGGGGGGGGAGCGGGTAGGGAACAGTGGGGTGGAGCTTCACTCGGCACCACAGGTACCAAGATTTGTGAGATAAAGGAGTGGTACCAGAACCGGGAGGACATGCTGGAGCTGAGGCACGTGAACAAGACCACAGGCCTGAATATCGACTACTTCAAACCAGGCCACCCCCAGGCTCTGCGTGGTGCGTGGCCCAGTCACCTTGGAGCCCAGGGTGGAGGGGTGAGGTGGGGGGGCTGTGCTGCTCACTGCTTAGTCTCCATGGTGGTTGGCATATGGCGGGAGGAACCAGCATTGTGTACTGACAGATTCCTTAAGTGGCAAGCAACAGAAACTGCCTCCGTCTCCCTAATGTCTGTGCAGATTGGGGGGCAGGGAAGAGGGCTAGGGAGCCCAAGGACATTAGTCCCTCCAGGAAAGTCATAGCGGGGCCCACATGTCCATTCTGATCAGGAACCTCACCAAGAGGGCACACAGTAGGAACACATTTAAAGGAGGTAAGGATGCTGAGTAGTCAAACCAACAAATGTACCCACACAAGGACAGTGCAGGGGACAGAGAGTGTGTAGTGTGTGAACGTGGTCACCAGCTCAGAAAGTTGGCAAGGGAGGGAAGAGCTTATCTTGGGAAAGAATCATCAACCGTAACCAAGAATTCCCAAAGGGAACACATAGGGCAATCACGTCTGAAAACATGAAAATGAAATAATCCAATAAGGGACCATTTATAACCCTCAAGTTGGTAAAGATAGAAAAAAAAAAAGGTCCCACTGGTGTGGGCCAGTGTATGAAGCAACAACTGCTCCATCACATCTGATAGGGAAACAAATTGGCCCAACTTCTCTGGAGGGCAGTTCAGCAAAATGTATCACCAGGAGTCCTGGTGTGGTGCTGCAGGATAATGCGCTGGACTGCAAGGTCAGTGTGAACTACAGAGTCAGAGGTTCAAACCCACCACCCGCTCCTCAGGGTCACTATGGGATGGAACAGACTCGACAACACTTAATGATAACAGCCTTAAGATGTGTGTACTCTTGGACCCAACAATTCCACTGCTTGATCATCTACCCTGAGGAAATAACAAGAAGAATAAAGAATGCACAGCACGCATGCGCCTCATAGTGGGGCCCATAGTAACGAGAAGTGGGAAACAGCCCGAATACCCAGCAGCCGGGGATTGTATCACTAGTGCTCGTCACACCTGGGGCTGCCTTCTTCCTCAGGTGGGTCTCATGCCCTTCTCCTGGTTCCTGGTGCTCAGCTAGCCCTCTTCCCTCTGCCCCACTGCAGTGCACTCGTACAAGTCCATGCTCCCCGAGAACGACCGTACTATGGAGTTTTATGAGTCAGCCCGTGTGGACGGCCTGATAAAGCGGGAGGAAACTTCCACCACGATGACGGAGTACTTCCAGGGGCGGCCAGACTTCCTCTCCTACCGCCATGTCAAGTTTGGCCCTAGGGTCAAGAAGATACCTCTGAACAACGCGGAGGCCAACCCCCGACCTCTGGTGGTAGGAGCTCACTGGTCCTGGGGACATGGGGCTCACAATCTCTGGAAGGTTGAGGTCACTATGGGATGGGGTGAGTCTGACTCTGGGGTACCATCAGAGCCTGAGCACCAACTATGAATGAGCCAAGCTTTTACCAAACGCAGTATCCCAGAGTCGTTTGATATCAGGCTATGCCCTCAACTATTGGGCCAGAAAGGTAGTGCTTCCTCACTGTGGGTTAGTGCTAGACTACAAAGTCGGTTTGAACCCAAGGTTGCTGGTTGAAGCTCACCAGCTGCTCCCTGGAAATGCTATACAGGGTCCGCTATGGGTTGGAACTGACTAAACAGCACTTAAAAACAGTAACAACATAAAAAATATATATGTTAAGAAATTTGGAGAGATAAGTAAAGATATCTCAGAATGGCACCTTTCAAGACATGGCCATACATGAATGGGTTTGGTTTTGAGTCTTTTCTACCCTGATTGTAGAAAATGTGTAATCATTACACATCAACATTAATATTAAATGGTGTGCTTTTCCTCCATGTCTTTACAAATTATTTGGCACCTGGATTTAATGGCTGCATACCAAAGCAGCTCTTTCTAGCAGTAAATGATGTCTCGTGATGGAGTAGATGGAGAGGTGGTGAGCTCTCTATCTCTGGAGGAGAGCAAGTAGAGGCTCATTTAAGAACTAGAGAAGTCCAGCACCAGACAGGCTGGAGTACCCTGGCCTTCAGAACCACTACTGGCCTGCTCCACAGGACCCCCAGAAGACACCAGGCACTGCATGCATTTGGGGGGTGTGCACAGAAGCCCCCTTCTCCAACCCTCTGTCCTATGCATGTTCTGGCCTCACAGAAAATCATCGAGCAGTTCTGCCGCAACCCTGCGAAGCCTGCGGATGAGGATGTGGCAGAACGTGTGTTCCTGATCATGGATGAGCGCATCCAGCTGCGCTACCATTGCCGTGACGACTACATCACAGCCTCCAAGCGCGAGTTCCTGCGGCGCACTGAGGTAGACAGCAAGGGCAACAAGATCATCATGACGTCTGACATGTGCATCAGCTTTGAGGTGGGCCTGGGGGTTTGGGGGTCTGGGAGCTAGGGGGCCTGGTGGTGGTTGTGGTTGGGTAGTGGGAGGAGAAGCCCAGGTGGGCTTCAGTTCCATCCCAGCAACTCAGGACAGAAATGCTGGCTCCCAGCCAAACATTTACCCTGCTTCGTGGGAAATCAAAGGCTTCCATCTGGTGACCCTACTTTTTGCAGCTCCTTTAAAAAGCCCTCCATGTCCAATAAGGAGGAGATTCCAGTCGACTGAGATCACTCTCCACTTCCCTTCACTAGCCCTGGGCAGAGAAGACCCCAGGTCCCCAGCCAAGTAGGAAAAGTCTCTCAACACCACCATGGGTCTTATTTTCTTAGTTCAAATCCTCATTCTTCTGGCACCTTCCTCAACCCATCTGAGCTTCTTTTGTATGATCTGTGTTTGCGTAGATTAGGAAATGAAAACAACTTGTTGCAGGCCCATAGTTAGAAAGTGGTGAGGCATATTTGGACCAGGTGCTCTGGCTCCAGACTGCCCATGACCATACCCCCTACAACATCAGTCAGCATCTTGGTCGTTGTTTCAGGTGGAGCCCATGGAGCACACAAAGAAGCTTCTCTACCAGTATGAGACGATGATGCATCTCAAGAGTGAGGAGAAGCTGTCTAGACACCAGGCCTGGGAGTCAGAGCTGGAGGTAGGGTCCCTGGGAGAGTGGTCAGGGGAGAAGTGACAGGGGTGAGGATACCTTAACCATCATGGCCCCTTTCCTACGCTAGGTGCTGGAGATCCTGAAGCTTCGAGAGGAAGAGGAAGAGACACACGCATTGACCATCTCCATCTACGACACTAAGAGAAATGAGAAGAGCAAGGAGTACCGGGAGGCCATGGTGAGTCTCCTCCCTTGCCAAGTGCCAGGCCTCCATGGTGGTGAGAATGACTAGGTACTCTTCTAGGAAACCCTTCATAGGGAGTGACATTACTGATATTGTGGTGGCATCTTTCCTGCTGGGCTAATCACTATGGCAATTTCACCCCAGGAGCCCTGAGGATCCAGAGCAGGTCTTCCCCCACTTCCAGGGGCTCCTGGCTTAGCCATGGTTTAATGCATAGGGAAGGGTGGAAACAGACCCCAGTGACCTGTCTCTACCCCAAAATCCCGGTGCCCACTCTGGCTGCAAGTCTGAGTTCTTTGACCCCTGCATGCAGAGCATTCAGGTGATACCTTCAGTTGCAAATCTTGATGTGACTTTTGAACCTGGTCTGAATCTCCTTCACCAACTAGTTGTTGTTGTTAGGTGCCATCGAGTGGCACCAACTCACAGCAACCCTATGCACAACAAAATAAAACACTGCCGAGTCTTGGATCAACCTCACACTTGTGTATGTTTGCAGCTGTTTCTCTTTGTTTTAAGTTGTGCCCCATCAACAAATGAAGGCCCCAGAGGCTTTACTGCCATCACAGTCTACATACTTTGATGAGGCAGCTCTTCCTTAGTCATATTTTGAGTGCCTTCCAACCTGAGAGGCTCGTCTTCTGGCACTCTATCTGACAGTGTTCTGGAGGTCTTCATCATGTTTTCGTATTCAATATTCTGGTGCTGACAGGGTTCCACTGCTATTCATACAGTTTTCAGTGACTAAATATTCAAAAGTAGTCTGTTTTTCCTTCTTCTTAGTCTTAGTTTGGAAGCTCAGCTGAAACCTGTCCACTGTGGGTGGCCCTGTTGGTATTTAAACTACCTGTGGCATAGCTTCCAGAATCACAGCAACATGCAAGCCACCACAGTATGATGAACTGGTAGATGAGTGGTGGCCACATCAGGTAGACAGCCATAATTTGTGAAAGAAACAAGAGTTGGACTGTTATCAATAAACATGAGTTTAAGAGACCAGTCCCAAACACACCCAGCACTGGACCTGGATTGGAGGCTCAGTTGTGCACTGTCATATTGTTGAGTTGGTTGGGGAGGGGGAGGGTCTCTGAGCTGTCTGTGGCCTGGCTGACACTCCCACCCACTCTGTAGGAGCGTGTTATGCATGAGGAACACCTGCGGCAGATGGAGACCCAACTGGACTACCTGGCCCCGTTCCTGGCACAACTTCCGCCGGGTGAGAAGCTGACACGCTGGCAGGCTGTGCACCTCAAGGATGAATGCCTCAGTGACTTCAAACAGCGGCTCATCAACAAGGCCAACCTCATCCAGGCCCGCTTCGAGAAGGTGCAGTCAGAGTCCTGGGAGGAATGGCCAGAGAATCTTGGAATACTCAGCCAGAAAATGTGTCCATGGCTGTCTGCCCCATAACCTCACAAACTTGTGAAGGACCAATGAGGGGATGAGTATGTCAGTGCTTAGGGTTTCCAAATGATGAGGTGCTCTTTTTCACTCTTATTCATTGGATGGATGGGTGGATGAACAGAGAGATGGGTAGATGAATGGATAGATGGTTGGATGGATGAGTGGAGTTGATTGGTGGGTGGGTAGATGGGGTAGATGGTTGGATGAATGGGGTAGATGGGTAGAATGGATGGATGAGTGGATGATGGAATTGACTTGTGGATGGATAGAAGGATGGATGGATGGGGTGAATGGATGGGGTAGACAGGGTAGATGGGTGGATGGAAGGATGGATAGATGGGTAGATGGAATTCACTGGTGGATGAATAGAAGGAAGGATGGCTGGATAAACAGATGGATGGGGTAGACAGGGTAGATGAGTAAATGGATGGATGGTTGGATGGATGAGGTAGATGGATGGATGAGTGGGTTGTTGGATAGTTGGATGGATGGATGGGTAAATAGATGGATGGGTGGATGAGGTAGATGAATAGATGGGTAGGTTGTTGGATAGTTGGATGGATGGATGACTGTATGGGTAGATGGATGGGGCAGGTGAATGGATGTATTATACAACTCTTAGTCACTGACACATTTTTGCAGGTCAAGCATGCACTGAATTCTTCCTATACATTATCTAATTTAATAGCAAACAGCTGCACACGGTGGGGTGGGGGTTCAATGAGCCTCATTTTTCAGTTAAAATTTTTTCTGAAAATGTAGGTAACTTGTCCAGAGCTGCATAGTTGTCCATACCCTTGCTCTGACCTCATGGACATGATAAACCTCTAAACATGGCCTTAGCCGCTCCCGCTCCTGCATCTGCCCTTTGACTTCTGTGGAGCCCCATCTAGAGACCAGTGGGATTTCTGCCTGCAGCTTGGGTAAGGGTCAGCCCCCAGCAACTTTCTCTTCTCCCATAGGAGACCCAGGAGCTGCAGAAGAAGCAGCAGTGGTACCAGGAGAACCAGGTGACCCTGACGTCCGAGGATGAAGATCTGTACCTGAGTTACTGCTCTCAGGCCATGTTCCGCATTCGAATCTTGGAGCAGCGGCTCAATCGGTGAGCTCCAGGAGATGGGGAGCTCCAGGAGACAGAGGTGAGGCTGGGCCTCCATCTCCATGCTCCTTCACCCCTTCTTACTCCACCCTCCAATTTCAGACACAAGGAGCTGGCCCCTCTGAAGTACCTGGCTCTGGAGGAAAAACTCTACAAGGACCCTCGCCTGACTGAGCTCCTCAAAGTCTTTGCTTGATGGCCCTCGTGGGGCCTTAGCAGAAGCTGCCAGAGAAAGCAGACCACCCCCACAGCCTGGGCCTGTGCTCCCATCACAGATAATGATGGCCACCCAAGTGCCTCCGCTCACTGCCACACCCCTCTCCCTGCAGCCCTTTCTCTTCTTGCTTCTCATGCTTTTCCTGTAAATAAACACTTTTATTTGCCTTCCACACCTCCTCTTTTCCAAGCACTTCTTCTTCCCTTCTGTATCCACAGTTGGGGGGCCTTGCTCGCCTCCCTTCCCCTTAGCTATCTTCCACATTTGCTTCTCCTCCTTCTCAGCTGGAATGTTGAGTCTTCATTAGCAACTCTGCAGACTAGCTCTCCATCCCTGCCCCCAAACCAAATGAAACTGTTGCCCTTTGTTGTTGTTAAGTGCAGTCAAGTAGATTCGGACCCTTAGTGACCCTGTATAGGGTTTCCAAGGAGCAGCTGGTAAGCTTGAACCACTGACCTTGCAATTCAAATGACTTTGCAGTCTGACTCATTAACCCACAGCATCACACCAGGACTCCAGCTGCGCTTTGTTGATTCCAATTCATGGCAGCCTTGTGTGTTACAGAGTCCAACTTCCACACAGGGTTTTCTTGGTTGAAATCTCTCTGAAAGCATAATACCTGGTCTTTCTTATACAGTCCTGTGAGATGGATAGTCCGAGCCCCCAAACAACTGGTTAGATCTTAATGTGGCCCCTCTCATGAAGCAGGATGGCAAGACTTAGGTGTGCACACCTCTAAACATGGCCTTAGCCACTGGGGCTCTGGGGCTGATGGGAAATTGTAGGGGTTGGAATCTCAGCTCCTCTTACCCACAACTGTTTCCCTGTCTGTGAAATGGCGTTGGCAATGTTGTGTTAAATAAGGTAAGGCTGGTAATGCAGAGAGGACTTGGGAGTCAACCTAGAAAGCACCCTCTAGATGTTAGCTTAAAAACTGGCCAACGAACATGAAAATGTGGTCAAATTAGTCACCAGTGAAAGAAATGCTACCACACACATGGGAACCGGAAAAAAAAAAAAACAATAAATGTTACAGAGGACAGGACACAACTGGAACCCCTAGTGGGAATGGAAATTAAGACACTACCACCCAGGAACTTGGAGTTCATTCTGACCATAGTGACCTGAGAGGACAAAGTAGTACTGTCCCCTTAGGAGTCCTGATGTGGCACTTTAGGAAACGCACTGGACTGCTAACTGTAAGACTGGCAGTTCAAACCCACCAGCTGCTCCTCGGCAAAGGGTCACTATAAGTCAGAACCAACTCGACAGCTCTTAATAATAACAACAGTAATTCTTTATTGGAGCAGACTGCCACATCTTTCTCCCGCCAAGCAGCTGGTGGTGGTGGTTATGTGCTGTGGAGTCGGTTCCAACTCATAGCGACCCTGTACAGGGTTTTCGAGGCTGTCAATCTTTACGGGAGCAGAAAGCCTCATCTTTCTCCCGTGGAACAGCTGGTAGTTTCGAACAGCTGAACTTTAACGTTCACAGCCCGATTTATAACTACTATGCTACCAAGCAGCTGGTGGGTTCAAAGTGCTGACCTTTCAGTCAACAGCTGAGCCCTTAATCCATTGTGCCAAACTGTCAGTATCTGCTAACATTTATATATACCCTATGGCCCACAATTCCATTCCTAGATCTCTACCCAACAGAAATGCATATCTATGCCTACCAAAATAGCCATACTATTAATAATAACCTCAAACTGGAAATTACCCAAATGCCCATCAAGAGTCGTATGCGTCCATTCAGTTGTGGTCTGGGGCCTTTTTTATTGTTATAACTGGGATAGGCAAGTTGCATTAACACAGGAATGGGAAACGTGGGCCCCTGGGCCATATAAGGCCCTCAAAATCATTTGGTCTGGACCTGCAAGGCAACCATAGGCGGGACTTGAACTTTAATAAACCTAGGAGCTTTTTTCATAGCAACATAAATTTATAATAAGTGAATCATAATAATAACAAATATTTTGAGGGATAAACAAGGAACGCCCATCATGGGACAGACAGGACACATACGAGTATGTGATGGGACAGACAGGTATGCTTCTCATTGGCTGCCCATGGTCTGTCTTCCTGTATTGCGGTGACTCAGATGATAGTCAGTGCCAGGCAGGCTGGGAAGGCATGCGCTGCAATAGTGTTAATACACTGTGATGAAAGTATGACGGTCCAGTGATGACGAGATGAGATTTGATGAGATGGATCCTTGTGATGTTGATGACCTGGCCTTCGGTGATTGATGGCAATGTTGTTAACTTCTTTATCGACACAGATGATAACTCCAATATAATCTTTATCCACGCATCCATGATCAACAATCCTCGCAAACACTGAATCTCAGATGAAGATTAAGGAAATTACGGTACACAGAAAAGACCTCAAGAGTGGACGATGCTAACGTTGGTTGTGTTCCAAATCCAAGATGCAGGATTCGAACAGCAATCAAAGCCAAATAATCATGTTGCTGGCAGTACACACACTGCATAGTTATTAAAAGTTAAGTGGTGTGACATCCTACAAATGGTGACTACAAAGAAAAGAAAAGTTGATGCAGAGTGTCAATCTTTCCAAGAGAACTGGACAAATGATTATTTTTTGTTGTTGTTGAAGTCAAAGGCAAAGCTGTGTGCCTAGTTTGTGGTGATACATGAACAGTGAAAAAAGCCAATCTGGAACATCATTACAGCTCAAAGCATGTAGGCCAAATGCTTTTTGGAAGGCCAAATGTGGCTGGATGAAATCAATGCTCTTCAGTGAAGTTTGGAATTACAACAAGTAGGCCTTGTTCAGATAGCCTTATTCAGATGAGTTGAGTAGTGAGCAAGCTAATTGCAAAGAAGCTGAGGCCTCATGTAGAGGGGGAGTTTTTTTGTTTTGTTTTGTTTTAATTTAAGGTTTTTATTGTGGATTGAGTGAAAGTTTACAGGGCACATCATCAGTTTCACATTCAACCATTCATATAACTTGTTTCATTACATTGATTATAATCCCCTCCATATACCATGAGTTAAAAGTATTTCTCTCTATCCACTTTGGCTTTTTAAAAACACACA